TCACCGCCTACGTGCCTTTTACGCCCAGTCATTCCGAAGAACAATTGCCCCCCCATCTTACCGCGGCTGCTGGCATGGAGTTAGCCGGGGCTTTTTCCTTGTTTCTGTCATGATCGCGCACTCGATGAAAGAGCTTTACAAGCGGCATTGCCCTTCTTCACTCACGCGATATTGCTGGATCGGGCTTTCGCCCATTGTCCAAGATTCCCCACTTCTTATTATTGATTACTTATGTTCTAAATCGATCGAATCGTCTATTAGTGTCTCCTTGATTTTTCATCTGTAGCAACATATGCAACTTCTATTGTTAAATTCGCAGCATTTAAGAAATTGTTGCAACATATAATTATAACAAATTGTTGTGATAGACAAATTGATAAAATAAACATTGTCTTTAATTACATTGTCTTTGAGATAAAATAAAATACAATGTAATTGTTGCAACATATAATTAAGAAATTGTTGTGATAGACAAATTGATAAAATAAACATTGTCTTTAATTACATTGTCTTTGAGATAAAATAAAATAACATATTTGATAAATTAAACATTGTCTTTAATTACAAGCATAATGTCAAGGCTTTAAGCACTGAGATATTATCTCATTAGCCCAAATATATTGCATCCGTTCAATTAGATTGTCACATAACAGTGAACTGGGTGGATGCAATTCTGTCCGACTAATCAAGTGCTCAATAAATGCAATGGAATATGACCCGCAGGCCGCTCCACTTGCATTTTGTACCATAGATTCTATTCGACCGTTAAATTCCCATGGTTGAGTGAGCAATATCTCTGGCAAATGATTCATTATTCCACTCTGTTTTTAGCAATTTAGGCAGCAACTCGAAGACAGGTTGTATGAGTGTGAAAAACTTGTCATTTTCTGTAATAACCAGGTTGCAGTCATAAACATTGATCAATCCCTCGTGTAAGAGAATCTCGACAGTCACGAAATGATTACCCGAAATGTTCATGACTATCAAAATCCTTTTTGCATCTATACAATCCATGCCTCCAGGAGTTGTCCTAATACCCCTGACATAGTCAATCATATCATCATCCCATACAAAGTCATCTAGTAACTGACTCGTGCTTTTACCACCTGCATTGTTGCCTCATCGCTCATTTGATTATATCTACGTAGGAAGTTCATACAGAAGTTGAGATCTATGATTTTATCTCTGGGATCATAGTAGTTCGAGTATTTCCAATGCCTCTGACGCATGATGTTAAGGATTTCGTCAATATAATGAAACAAAAAATAATATTAAATAGTTAAGAAGAGTACTCACTGAAAAGACATAAGAAATAGTTAATAATATAAAAAGTAGGATTACCCAGTCTTCCCACCAAACTGTTAGGCTTGTCATGTTCCTGAAATCTTTACCGGTAAAAACATGCATATCGTATTCCATTCGAATAACCTTTGCACCGATCACCTTAATTACTGCTTCTTTTTCAGCTACAGAGGGACACCTATAAATATTCAGTTTTTTATACTCCGTCACCTCTTCCTCCATTACGGCCCTTGGAATTTCTCCAAACATCTTCCTCTTCAAATTTTGCATTGCCTTGGCAAATGATTATTTTCTCCACTTGGCCTATGGAGTACATGCATGCCCCACATTCTTTGATACAATGCCCTTCACACCCCTCTTATTTTTAAATTCATTGACAGCTTCACTCAATTTTTGTAGATATATGATAAATCATCATCATGTTTCTTACACTTCTCACAGAGAAAGCCACAACATCGTCTACAAGAGGTAGCCCCTTCTTGTTATCCTGCACCACCACCAGCAGCAACACCAACACAAGCAGCAGCAGCACCATTATCAACATCAACACCACGATCAGCACAAAAAATAACTAATTCATTACTTACTACAAATAGGAACTCTCTCTCTTTTGATGGTTGTTGCTCCAGCCAACACCATTTTAACTCTATCCACAACAGGATCAAAAATGGTTTCAACCAACCCTAGAGTTATTAGATATGACATTTGCAGTTCCTCTTCTGTTGGGGTAATCCATGGATGGACAACCTGAAATAATAAAAATGAGGCATCAGTAAGAATTTTCTGTTGCTACAGATGAATTGTCTGTCGCAACATGTGTCACAAATGTTGCTACAGATGATTCATCTGTAGCAATATGTGTCACATATTGCAACACATGACATGTGACACAAACGTTGCTACAGACGAAACATGTGTTGCGACATGTGCCACAAATATTGCTACAAATGAATTTTCTGTCGCAACATGTGTCACAAATGTTGCTACATATGAATCATCTGTAGCAACATGTGTAACATGTCGCAACACACGACTTGTCTGTCGCAATATGCGTCACAAATGTTGCTACAGATGAATTGTTTGTTGCGACATGTGTCACAAATGTTGCTACAGATGAATTGTTTGTTGCGACATGTGTCACAAATGTTGGTAAAGATGAATACACATGATTCGTCGGTAGCAACATGTGTGTCACGTGTTGCTACAGACGAGTCATGTGTTGCAACATGTGACACATTTTGCTATAGATGATTTATCTGTAGCAATATTTGTGACACATATTGCGACAAATAATTCATCTTTAGCAATAGATGAATTATCTGTAGCAACATGTTACACAAATATAGCAACATATGCCTGTAATATACTAATAATAACTTATTGCATCAAAAAGAGGGTTAAAAAGATCTGGAATATGCCTTTCTTTGGTAGTTTTTGTTCTTGCCATCAACCATCTCATCATCCTTGGGGATGATCTCTCTTCTGCTGCAATTACTTGGTGGGTCAAATAAGGAATGGCTTCAAATGCACAGGCCTGTAAAAAAGGAAAACCTGTCAATAATCAAATGTTGAATTATTACTTCATATGATATAAAAAGATTAAAAACATTCAGCTTAACCATGAAAGCCCATAGAAAACCAAACAAGTTGCTGGTCTTTTCTCCTAAAAGCTTCAACATGTAGTCGACAGTTAGATAAAAGCTCTCATGACCCCATGGGTAGTTCTTGAAAGCTTCAATATCCTGACAAAAATTGACATACTTTAAAGAATATTATTTGTAAAACAAAGTAAGCACAATGACTCCTTGTGCTTCCTTGTTGTATCCTCCCGTTCCAACAAACTTAATAAGTCAGAATTTTTAAAGCTTTTGCCAACAAGGGACATCAAGACCTGCTCCTCAATTGGCAGTGACTGTTGTCCTGCTTTTGCTACTTTTTTAACTATTTTGTTTCGTCGTGGTTCTGTTTTAATAATGTATTCAGGGATGGGCTCAACAGGAGGATGACATTTTAACCCTGTAATTATGACATACTCTTTTATGCTAAAGAAAACTGGCATGCCACAATAATTAATTAGAATATCATCCTTCTTATTGAAATTTTAAAAAATGAACCTTCTTCTAAAAATTCATACACGATGGTCATTTGAAAACGTGAAAGTGGATCAATGGGTAAATCAAGAAAATGACCAAAATAACTATTTTTGAAAAAATCTTCCAATCGATTTATCTTGACGATATCCCTGAATTTGACAAAAGGTCTTCCCAGGATTGACCTAATGATGTTGTCACCATTAGCATCAGGCTGCAGATGCAGGGGAAAAGTGTCTACACTGATGATTTTAATCTCATCATCACCACTAGCATTGAACTCTTCATGAAGTTCTTGTTCTCCTTCATGAACTTCATTTATTTTTTCTTGTAGTGCCAAAACTACTACTTCTGTATTTTCTCGTTCTTTTTCTTGAACTTCATTTATTTTCCCTTGTTCCTCAACTTCTTGTTTTCCATCTTCTTCCTCCACCACTTGTCTTTGTTCATATTCTTTTTTGACAAAATTCTACTTCTGCTTGAGAAGAAGAAACCGCTTTTGCAAGTTTTTCTAAAAGTGTAGTATTTTCGTTCCTCTTCCTATGAATTTTAGACCTAGCCTTCTTTGGATCTTTGTTTGGTCAGATATAGTATCTGTCGCAAATATATACTATCTGTCGCAACATATATACTATCTATCGCAACATATCTACTATCTGTTGCTACATATATACTATCTGTTACTACATATATACGAAATGTTGCAACATATAGTTTTGTCGTGTTTATTACTAGCGAAATTACATTTTAATTAATATTTCACCAATTATTTTATACAACTTATCAACAAAAAGGTAATTCACAATGATATGATATACATAACCGCCTATCTAATAAATGATTGTAAACTTAACATTTTCATCGATCTTAGATTTTTTTGGTTCTACACATCTCTAGGTCTTCATTATTACTAACGTAATCATTTCGAGCCTTTACAATCGTATAATTCCATAAGAGTGAGCATATCTCAAGTGAAGGGTGTCAGCATTAATTTCACATGATGGTACTTGTCCATCACTCAAATACTCAGCGTATGCAGCAACCAAAATTCCACAATCTCTGCATGGTATATCATCAATTAGAAAATATAATAACATCACATTCTGATAGTCGTAAGACAAAATAATATTGTGATACTTACAGACTACTGCTTTTTTGTTGGGCAATACCAGTAACACGACTGACTTCAAATGGGTGAGATTTGTTCTTTCCTTGGTAACATTTAAGAACTGACCAGTTGAAACGCTCGTTTTGCTCATAAAATCCACTCAACTCAAGGTACTTTGGCAACATTGTAGCCATCTTTTGAATCTCGGAGGATAGTTTTCTATTAGACCTATTTGAGGACATGAAATCATACACTTTTATGCACAGACCCAATGAAATTCCCCATTACTATTTACAGGGAAATAAACATCATCCATCAAGCGCCAAGGCATTTTAGAAGGTATAGCATACCCTTTCATTATGTCAATGATTTTATCCTCATATTCACTAGAATTGACAATGTATGTTTTGAAAAAACAACTAGTGGTGGTATATTGATATTCAAATTGAGTCTTTTGCTTCGACTTCTTACGCAAATAGTAAAATATGACATCCACATACTGCACACATGCATCAAACAAGTGTATCAATTTAATTGTATATATTCATGTACAAAACAGTACATATAAAAGTGAGCATGGATTTGCCTCATCATTCCAGCACCTATTGGGTTGAGACATTATGTAGAACCAGTCCTTATTCATCGGAAATGTAACTACTAAATTAAGTTCTTCAAATTCAAGTTTTGAGCAATTGGCTAAGTAGTTATCCTCCTTGTTTCCTCTGCAATTGTGTAATCATTATATATTAGACAACAAGAAGAAATACTAATAACAGTTGAACGACTTTACTTGCTTTACTTTACTTACTTTTTTGCATGATGCTTGTAAAGACCCTCTTTTATCCATTGCGAGAAGGATGACATTAGTTCAGTTGGACCCTCGCCGTCAATGTTAAAACCTTCAAATGGATTCACATCACAACTGACAACTTCGACTTTCTTCCCTTTCTTTTTCGCTTTCGCTTTTACTTTCTGCTTCTCCATCTCCATCTCCTTTGCCTTCTTCTCATTCCCCTTCTCATTCTCCTTCTCCTGTTTTGCCTTCTTCTCCTTCTCCTCCTTTTCATTCTTCTCTTTCTCCTCCTTTGCCTTCTTCTCCTTTTCTTTCTTCTCAATAATCATAAAAAGTGTTTGAGAAATAGATTTTTTCAACCTCCTACATTTCAAAGGTTATGAAGTCTTCTTGGATCTTTGCACATTAATATTATGAGACATTTTCTTAAAAATATCAATGAGTTTTTTAACATGATTAATAAAATAATCATGTAACTGTTCACATTCTTCGCATAGACAAAAAGAGCATTTCGTGTTAGAAGATTGAGTTGTTGACATGGATGAAACTTCTTGTATCATATCATCAACAAGGTAAATAAAAAAATATTGAGATTTTACAATTCATTATAAAATAATAATATCAGTATGTTGCAACCGATGAATAGTCTATTTACGATAAATTAATATTATGTTGCCACATATGTACCAGCTGTTGCGCAACATATCCATCTTATGTAGGAACAGATGCATCATATGTTGATACATCTATACCGATTATTGCAATATTTGAATCTTATGTGGAAACAGATGACCAACATATCAATTTTTTACAATTCATTATAAAATAATATTAGCAGTATGTTGCAACCGATGAATAGTCTATTGCGATAAATTAACATTATGTTGCCACATATGTACTTGCTGTTGCACAACATATACATCTTATGTAGCGACAGATGCATCATATGTTGACACATCTGTACTGATTATTGCAACATTTGAATCATATGTGGCAACAGATGACCAACATATCACTAAAATGTGGCAACATACATTAAAATCATATCAACAAAATGGCCAAAAAAAGAACAACAACAAAAAATGACTTTTCACTGAATGATAACAATACATATACATGATTTTTTGAGTTGGCTAATTTTCTTTCAAAAATGATAAATAATACACACCATTAAGTCGATTATTCAGTTTTTACACCTACAGAACATTTTATTGTTCATTAATTCAAGAAAAAAACTTCAAAAATTGTAAAGTATTTCAAAAAATAACTTACCCATTTCTAGTCGAACACGATTATAGATCAGAAAGATGAGAGAGTAATGGAGGACTGAAGAGGAAGAGTAACGACGACAGAGTAACAACGAATTTCTGAATTTCTAAGAAAGAAGATGAAGAAAAGAAGAGAGAGAACAGAGGAGAGGAGATGCAAATTTTTCTTTTTAAATGATTTGGTTTGAATTATAAAAGTGTTTTTTTTTATATTTTATAAAAGATTAGAAAGTTTTAAAAATATTAATTTAATCTCATAATTAGTTCATTACGTTTTAGAAAGTTTTAAAAATATTAATTTAATCTCATAATTAGTTCATTACGTTTTACAGAAAATTTGACGTGCTCTCGATCAATCTGTCACTAAAAACAAAAAGGAGACTTAATTTGAGCCGCTTAATTTTCTCAACTTACATTATCCTTTAAAATACAAAAAGTCATCATCAAAGGGACAATGGCTTCCCTTCACGTTCCTCTTTCTTCACTTCCACGTCCCAGTTTCAGGCCAACAGGCAAGTTGTTAATCCGATGTTCCGCCGACCGGCAAGCCCTGTTTAACCGCATTGCCCCTGTTTATGATAATGTGCGCACTGCGCTACCTCTCCTCCATTCACTATTCCATTTGTCACTTCCTTCATAGCTATATGTTTATTGTTTGCACAATTTTAATGCTTGCAGTTGAATGATCTTCTCAGTTTGGGCCAACACCGCATATGGAAAAGAATGGCTGTTTCCTGGAGCGGGTAAAACCTATTCCCCTTTCTCCTATTTAATAATCCCTCTAGTTCATATTAGGTTAATTGTTCGAAATAAATGAATTATTCAATGTTTTAGAGAATTGTTGAGTTTTTCTCCATATTTAATATGAGTTTATTCACTACTTTATATTTTCTAAGGAAATAGGTGTGTCATTTTTGTACAAAGAGGGGGTTCGAACCCACAATTCTAGTGTGAAAAGCATTTCCATATTTCCTTCCTTACCACTAAATCGTTAATCAATTTTCTTAGAGGTTCACAAGTTAATATGGGCAATGGCCATAGATAAATGATAAATAGTGCAAAAGTGCATAGAAACATGACGTATACTTATATATTTATTTAATTTTCTAGTACAAATACATGGTCCTACTGGGTTCATTCGAATTCACAAACCTGCACCTAGCTCCCCCTCTTTCAACAGTTCACTTAATATGAACTAAGACAGAGTACTGTTTATGTCCCATTAAACATGATACTGGAGACAATAAATTTCATGTCAAGAAAAATATTGTAACAGTAGTAGTATTCCATTTTAATACAGTGAATATTACAATCTCTATAATTCCTCTTTTCTGAAATAAGTTTATGGCCTTTGAGCTTTGATCTTGAACTTGATTTATATGTGAACTCAAGGTGCTTTGAGTTTGATTTTGAATTATAACCTTGAACTAAAATGTGGATTTGATTTAGTTGTCACAAGTGCTTTGATGACCGCCACGCAGAATAATTATCTCAGGAACAAGTAACTTTGATCTTGATGTCTTGGTATTTGATTTGCCTTCGTTTTTGATCGTTTAGTATTTGAAACTTGTAGAGGAATTATTTAATGTTTTGTAGCTTGTTGATCCACAAGCTTTCTGTTGTTTATTTCTCTGAAGTCTTGTCCCTTGTTTGAATTATGAGTATCCCTATTTATAGTTATGAAAGACAGAGAGTCTGAAACAAATTCAGAGAACTATTCTGCTTTGCATTTTGTGGATTCTAAGGTTGAAGAGAAACAATATATGTTTTTGAAGGCAAAAAAAGTCATATTCAGTGGTAAAAAACAACTGTATTTATAATCTTTACAATTTGGCATAAGGAGAACTTGTAAAAGGATATAGATCAATATCTTGATTTCCTAGATATTTAAGGAAGAAGCATGCAATGGTTGGGCTGGCTGAGTTTCTCTTTCTACTGTAATTTCTGTACAATCTTGGTGCATCATTAATAAATTTTATCCTACATTGAAAAAGAGTTGTGGGGGAGAAGAGTTGTGATGATGACAAACTCGTTTCTTTGATAAGTTGACTTGAATCACTGGCCAATCAAGTTGAAAGTGAAAAGACTACATTTGATTGGTCGGATCATGCCACTTGTACATATCTTACATTTTCATTAGCCTTTGATTCGACTAGGGATGTCACATTATTTTGGCTTGTTCATTTAACTTGATGTGCCTCGTCAATTTACATTTAACACAAGTTTGGCCCCTAGAATAAGACGACATGTTGGCTAACGAAGTGACTCATAATTTGTATCCCAAATAAATGGATTAGCCCAATGAAACTGAATCTTTAGTCAAATTTATATTTTCTGGACTCAAATAGTTTATCAAATTATATTAGTCAACAATATTTATTTGGACTAATACATCTTGGATTTAAAATGTAGTCCATATTTTATGAATTTGAATCCAATTGAATTTAAATGCTTACAGTAACCATTGGATATGACATTGATGTCAAAATTTTCTCTTTGAGTGTATATTTTTTTTTGGGAAAAGGGTCAAAAATATCCCCCAACTTTGATTTATTGTTTAAATTTACCCTCGCCATTATAATAAAGTTAATTTTACCCCTCGCTGTTAAAATAAAGTTAATTTTACCCCTTCCATTACTAAATTCACCAAATTTACCCCTTATTAGACGAATTGACCCAAGTTGACCCGTTTTTTTTTTAAAACCTTATTCCTTATTTTAACCAAATAACCCGACCCTGTTTAAAATAACCCGACCCCATTCTCCCAAATCTCCATTTACAAAGGCAATAGACTGCCACTCAATAGTCGGGAAATTTGAAGGCCCCGAAGGTGATGGAGCTTGGGAACTCTATGGAGGACAAAATCTGTTAAGATGGTGATCCAAAAAATGAACTCCAGTATCTATCTATCTTCGTGTCTCTCAGGTGATTATATGTTCGGAACTGAACTCTACCGAGTTTTTTTTGCTTCTACGCTTTTGATTGTGCACTGATACTACCACTAACTTATTAGTGGAAAGAGATGGTGTTGCTTTCTTATTAAGTAAACATTTACGCAAAGAATGGTGTCTCATTCTAATGATGCAGATTAGCAGAATTAAGGGTGCATTTCTTACTAAGGAAAATATTTTTTTTTAAAAAAATAAATATTTTTAATTTATTAATACAAATATTATTTTAAAATAAATGGAGATTTGAGAGAATGGGTAAATGGGTATAGGAGATTTGGAAGAATGGGTCGAGTTATTTTAAATAGAGTCGGGTTATTGGGTTAAAATAAGGAATAGGGTTTTTAAAAAGAATTTCGGGTCAATTTGGGTCAATCCGTCTAATGAGGGGTGAATTTGGAGAATTTAGTAACAGGAGGGGTAAAATTAACTTTATTTTAACGGCGAGGGTAAATTTAAACAATAATTCGAAGTTGGGGGTATTTTTGATCCTTTTCCCTTTTTTTTTCCATATACATTTATAAAAGTGATTTTTAGATTTAAAAACAATAAATATGTAAACCAGAAAATTGAGTAGTGTTGTCCCAGTAGAGACTGATATTACATAATCTCACCTGTTTCTTTGGGACCATTCATATTTTGCTTAATGAAGAGAAATGCCATATGCTTTCATCTGACAGTATCTTTTGTCCTATTGGTCCTTCATACAATTCGAGAAAAATGGAAGCTTCTTTTCTGTCTGCAAATGTTGCCCATGATTTAAATAGTATAAACAACGTACCCAATGAAATTACACAAGTGGGGTCTTGGAAGGGTAGAGTGGATACAAACATTATCCCTACCTCATGGAGGTAGAGAGGTGTTTCTGAAGGACCCTTGGCTTAAGCATTATATATCTATATTTTGTATATTAAATACTTAGATCGGATGAACCCACATGAAAGAGCTGCATCTCTCACTAGGTAAAGCATGAGATGCTTGTGCATTGTAAATAAATTAATAATGGTCAATATTGAAATAAAATATTTTTTGGTAAGTGAAAACATGCCGGACATTAGGAATGTGTTTAAGTTATCCGGACTAATATGTCATTTTCCTTTTGATAGGCCATGCTTACGATAAACTGTAGTTCGCTGTTTAATTGATGGAAAAATTGTTACAGTGTTAGTGCGCCTTATTTAAATCCATTCAAATGGGAAAAAGAGACAGAGGACAGATGAAATTTCCGCATCTTGTACTCTGTTCTTGATCATATAAATCTTGGATTTGGACTATGTTTACGTCCTAGTTAAGCTGGAACAATTGAACTTGTATTGCAGAGCTAAAGAAGGGGACACTGTACTAGATATCTGTTGTGGAAGTGGGGATTTGACGTTTCTTCTGTCTGAAAAAGTTGGACCCCATGGCAAGGTCCCCTTCTCTTTCTTTTTGCTGTCTCTGGTTTGCTTTTATTCTCTTTTTCATTCTTATGTTCTTCCATTGTGTAATTGCGGTTTTTAGTTACTATTCGCCATTTCAGAAGCAACTCAGTTTTTCATTGACCATTCTGAGAAATTCAATAAGCTGATCTGAGCAGATGGCTCTATGGAATACCAAGATTTCAAGACAGTCAATTTTCCTTTCTTTTGTTAGAAATGAAAACAATAAGAAAAATAGGAAAGATAGGATATGAGTGACTGTGGCGTTTGACTATCACCTGGAGATAAGAAGTTAAGAAAGATAATATTCTTACAAGGAGGAGAGAAAAACTTGTGCCCCATTAACTGTTTTATAGCACCTGTTGTTTTGTTATCAAGAGATCATTTTAACGTTGTTGAATCTTCTTCACTGTTGTGAGAATCAGAAATTTACTTATTTCTGTTCAATTACCTTTTTTTCTAATCGACACCCTTCATAACGTAGCAAATTAATGTGTCTCTTTATGCGTCTGTTTCTGCATAATGAAAATCTCATTGTAGAAAACCGGGGCTCCTACAACTTAGCATAGGAGAAGCCATCTCTGGCATAATTCTTTTAGTATTTTTTACTCATTGAAAAAGGGAAAAACAAGAAATTATTGAATGATCTTGAAACTGGTGATATTGTCACTTCTAGTTTGAATAGCTCCTGATTTGTTAGGTCGCTTTTTTTAGCTGTGTTTTACCTGTTCTCCTCTGGTGAGCATTTATGGAATAACATCATCTAGCAGTTCACAAGTTCTCTGGAGTAGTGTTCATGTTTTACTTATTTCAATTCAGCTTACCCTGTCCTATGTTATTACTGAACTTTCTGAATGTCAAATGCATTTTAATATGTGAAGCACATACAAATTTTAGCTTGTTGCACTGAGATTTTTCAGGGTAATAATTATTATTGAGACCTAAATTGTTGCTTCTTCTAAAGATTATTGGCTTCATGATATTTCTGATGTCAATCTCTTGCCTGATAATTAATGTTTCTTTTTGTTGTCCTTCCGTGATCTTCATGCTTTTGGGTCTTCAGGTTGCTAATGTCCATTGCTTTCATTTGAGTTTAGCTCCCGATGAAAAGAAATCTGCTCTTTACACCTATTTATATGTTCCTTTTTTTGTTTCAAACATTAAATAAAAATCTGCTCGCGGCGGAGCCACACAATTCTTATTTCTTATGTCACTAAATTAAGTGTTTTCTCTTTTATTGACTATATTTTGCAAGCTTTGTATCTACACAAGTTTTTGTAATGTAACTGGATTACATGATCGAAGCAGTTTAGGCTAGTTATCTTAATTTCTGAATTTTCGGATGTCAAATTTTACTGAGTTGGCCTTTTCATTAGTATGTGTGGCTTTGCAGGCGGTCGGTCTTGATTTCTCAAATGAACAATTATTAATCGCTTCGACTCGGCAGAAATTACGTTCAAAGACATGTTACAAGAACATCAAGTGAGCATTGGTAATTAAACTGTCAATATAACAGATAATGTTTGGAAGGTTATTTGCCAACACATTTAGCAAAATCCACTTGTGAAAATAAAATCTAGTCAAGTTCCAAATGGTTTCACACACTACGTTTGCCAGTTAAACGTGTATTATCTTCCGTACTCTTACTCCTTCCAATTAATTTTTTATGTTCCCTGAGTACGGTGAGAGATTAATACATTATGATATTATGAAGGTGGATGGAGGGCAATGCACTTGATTTACCTTTTCCTGACTCCTCCTTTGATGCTGTTACTATTGGCTATGGGTTACGCAATGTGGTAGATAGACATAGAGCTATGACAGAGATATGTCGAGTTATGAAACCAGGCTCAACATTATCTGTTCTTGACTTCAATAAGAGTATCAACCCCTTGAGCACCACAGTTCAGGTAGTTGTTGGCAGGTTAATACTTTTTCTCCACCACCACAAATTGTATGAAGTTATTGGTTTCAAATCTTTTGTTTTATCTGATGTAGAACTTTCTGTGCTTTAAGGATGCATCCCTGTCTTTTTTAAGGATGTAGTCAGTAAATAACTTTTGGTCTATATTCAGAACATGTTGTTAGTTGTTACTTAGCAAAACTGATGCAACAATTGAAACATAATACTCTTGAAGCTTATCATGTTCTTTTAGGGTGTAGGAAAAGTGGGGGCAGCGGAAGGGGTAAATTACTATATGATACAGAAGAGAAATAGTGATCTTCACCCATCATAAGTTGGGTAGTTCAAATGTGACTGGATATCAACTGTAGTAGAGCTCAAGAATATTACTCCACATAATATCAGCAAAGTTTCCATCCACTGAAACTGCATCCACATACATTCTCTGCTCATTCTCTGTACAGTTGGGACCACTTTTCTTCACAAGTTGAAAAGCAAGCCACTTCCCTATCCATCAAATTCCAGGGATTAATCTGTTATTCTGCATTATGGACGATTTCAGAATCTCCATCTCAGATTATTATTTGGCAAACTTCTTAATGTTTTCTTTTTCAGCTTATCATGAGTAGTAGTATTACAACATTTGTCTAATTTTGTTTTGTGTTCTGTTTAGGAAATGATGATCGACAATATAGTTGTTCCTGTAGCGAGTGGTTATGGCCTAGAAAATGAGTACAAATACTTGAAAAGCTCTATCAAGGACTTTCTGACAGGTCTGATCTTTTCACCACTATAGTTTAAGCAGTTTTAATTGATTCACTTTTGCTGTAAGCAGTTCTGAAGCCTTCTGCATGCATTATGTTGTGATATGTTATTTAAATTTTGTATTTAGAAATGAAGTAACATGAGTAACCTCTCTGCCTTAAATAAATTTTATTTTATACACCTCTCAAACAGATAAAAATTACTCTTTCATGCTTTCTTCATTGTCTCCTGGAGAAAAACATGCTATTCAATTGGCATGTATTTCTCAACTCTCTTTTGGTTCAACTTTATTCGTCTCCCTTGCTTTCTTACAAAAATACTTTATTAGAACTGGAGGCTCTATCGGGGAGAAAAATTGAGAAAATAATGGTGCATGAGAATACTGAGCTGAAGAAGAAAATAGATAAATCCTGACTTCCCATCCATCAGCTCTTGTAACTGTAAAAAGTTTTTTTAAAAAAAGAAAGGTAAACGTAAGACAGCAATTAGAGAGCAGACTGAAGTTGACATCAAATTCTCTTACTTGATGAAATGAATAAGAAGAAAAGAACCTTAATTTTGGGAAATTGACTAATCTCTTTACCTTCTTCCAATATTCTTGCCTGTTGTGTCTTTAATACATGGTAAATGGATGATTTGTGATACAGGAAACGAGTTAGAGAAGCTGGCTCTTGAAGTAGGATTTTCCACTGCCGAACATTTTGAGATAGGATTTGGATTTATGGGAAATTTGGTAGCCATTCGATAGAATGACTTCAGGTGCTTCATCTTCCAATTGCCTTCACAAGCGAGAAAAGATGCAGTAAGAAGAGGAATGAGCGGTATTTGCCTATAGATAATAGTATACTTCTTCCATTGATTTCAAGTCATGTTTATTGGTGTACTGAGTATTTCACCCTGACTGACTGAAGATATGTGATATAATATATTCTGCACCATTATTTGTTGCCTGTTTCCTATTCCTTTCCCCCCTCTCTTTTTGCACTATGCTATGAAAGATGCTTTAATAAGTGCTTGCTATAGTTTTCAGAAAAATCTGTTCTGTCGTAGCTAATCCCCTATCGCCCCCAAGGTCTAGCTCAAGTGGCAAAAGGTGGAGGATTTGTGACTTAGGTCACAGGTTCAAGCCCCGCACCATGCAAAGTAAAGTTTGGTATTTAAGTGGAGAAGTGTAGAGGGGCAGACCCATTATCCACTGAGTTTAGAAGGCTGTGATTGGTCCAAAGGGCGGGTCACATACGGACTTCTCGATTATCAAAAAGAAAAACAAAATACTAACCCCCTATCCCGTGCCATTTTGCTCTTTTTTTGGCCCCAAAACCTTGCGGAAAAGAGGGACAAACCGAAACTCCCTGGAAAACAGAGATGTTCAAAGAGAAAATGTATAGCAGATCAATTATTGTGATTCAATATGTAATGTGTGTGATTTTTGTCCCACAAAAGAGATTGTTCAGATACTTAGAAAGGAAGTGTCTATGTTGTTAATTCATACACTCCCTTAATGACATTGTATGTTATAGGCCTTTGGTGTTTCACTATTAGGGGGCGTTTGGTAGGCTGCATTAAAAGAAATAATTCATGTATTATATATGTGGTATAATTTAATACTGTATTTGGTAGGATTGTGAGCTATGTATAACTAATCCATGGATTAGTTAATACATCGTACATGGTAATATGTGATGCATTACTAATACCTTTCATTTGGAGGTATTAGTAATACATAGCATATAATACCATGGGATAAGCACATAAAGACAAAAATATCCCTAAAATCTTTTTAATTTTTATTTTAATTGCTTGATTTTATGTTTTATATTTGTACTAGTAAAACTATTTAAATAAATTAGTTTACGAATTATTTAGAGAGACTTATTTGTAACTAAATATATCTAATTCAAATCAATACAAATTTAAAATGTGAGTTATTTAACATTTACTAATTAAAAGACAAATATATCACTAATTATTCGTATTTTGAACAATTTAAAAAAATTACATACACATTAAAATTATAACTTGCAATTTTATGTGTAAATGTACATGGTTTATTTAATTTTCCAATTGTTGACCGTCTTTATAATTTTAAAAGTAGTTGGTTTATCTTTTTTAAATTTAAAAATTGACATTTTATTAGTGATAAATTTTTAAGATGAAAATTATTTATCCTCAAATAATTCAAGTAGAAAATTGAAAGCATGACAACAAAATTATTCTTCTCATAGCTAGTTAGAATGTCATAAAAGAATTTTTTTCCGATAATTATCAGTGCACTTAAATCTAATGGATGGGGTTCCATATTCATGAAAAGTCAGGTTTGAACCATGTTACGCTTGACCCAATTACATAATAATATAAGGGTATAATTGAAAAAGAGATTTTAAATAATTTGATTTCAAATACAAGCTGAGATTGAAAACAATGAACTAAACACTTGATAAAAATAAATCATACATTACTAATCCATGCGTTATTCATTTTGTATCAAACGATCCCTAAATGCTGTGTTTAATCTGCTGATTAACTTGTGAAATATCTACTTACATGAGACAACTTGCAGAATGATGATGATATTGTCTAGACAAGTATGGGGGATAAGATTGCTGATTGTGAAGAGGTTAAGGTATGTGCCAGTAGGAGGGAATTATCATCTTATGGGGTTATGTATATATCTTGAAAGGGAGGAGTTATGCTATGGCCTATGAGTAGCATAATAGTGGCTGTATGCTGCAAGTTTTGGGAACTGATACATTTTTGAAACAACCTCTCTACTTCCCAAGGAAGGAGTAAGGTTCTACTCTCTTAACACTGCACTTATAGAATTATACTCAATAAGTTATTGTTGGAATGATAGTTTTAGAACAATGAAGCGATTAACTTTCCCAAAAGGTCTTTAAAATCACAAACTGTAGTGATTGCGAAACTACTATTTACTACTTCAACTTCGAAATATGTGGCTACTAAATAGAGGTTCTTAAACAGGGTAAATGAGTGATGGCATGACTATGGTGAGGGGTACACCTTTTTTTTTATACTCTTTCATAAGTTGAAAATTCTAAAGAAAGATATCACCACTTGGAGTAAGGAAGTGTTTTGACAATTTGAATCAAGAACAAGGCTCTGAATAACTATTACTTTTTTGGTCAAAAAGAGATTTATATATAGATTGACACTGAAATATTAAGTTAAACGTAGTACTAGCACTATTAGAAAAGTGTATTTTACATGAGATATTATTTGTGGAAAATTATAGCTCGTAAATTTTCTTGCGAAAATTTTAAATTTCTCAATATTAAAATATATTACTTATAAAAATTATATTCCCAACAAATTTAACAGCTAAAGTTGGAACCATTGTGCACAAAATTAGTTTCTGGGAAATTTATCCGCAGGAATAATATCTCTAGCTAAATCCTCAGGAACATGTATCATTTTTTTTTTGTTAAAAAAAAAAATTCTTTTTAGGCTGTAGGAAAATTCCATTTTGTCCAAAAAAATTATTTTGGGAATTTACCTAGACACTTTATTACCTTGGGAAGTAATTGGGGATTTAGGAATTATTAGATCAATAATCTTTTAGATGATTGGATTCTTTTATACTTATAATTTTTTTTTGGATTATAGATCAATTAAAAACTCAATTAGAACTTTAGGAATTGCAAAGTGATTGTAAGATCCACTAAGAGCTCGTTTGGATGGGCTTAAAAATTGATCAAACTGACTTAAAAAGTTAATTTTTGACTTATTAGAATATTTGGTAAGTATCGTAGTAACTTATTTTAAGTCAAAAATGACTTAGAGCCTATTTGGATAGAATTAAAAGCTGGTCAAACTGACTTAAACGTCGATTTTTGACTTATTAGAGTATTTGACAAATATCAAAATAACTTATTTTAAGTAAAAAATGACTTATTTTAAGCCAAAAGCTAAAAGGTATGTGAGGGGTGCTTTTTTTTTTCCAACTTAAACGTCATTTTATGTTGACCGTATACATAATCTTTTTATCCTTAATTCTTTTATTATTTTTTTATTATTATTATTTTATTTTATTATTATTATTATTATTATAATTATTAATATTTTATTATTATTATTGTTTATTTTATTATTCTTTATTACTATTATTATTATTATTATATTGTTATTATTATTAGTTTTATTATTATATATTATTATTATTATTATTATTCTATTATTATAATTATTATTATTTATTTCATTATTCTTTATTATTATTATTATTATATATTATATGTTATTATATATTATTATTATTTTATACATTATTGATTATTATTATTATTATTATTTATTTTATACATTATTATTTATTATTATTATTATTATTATTTATTATTATTAATATTTTATGCATTATTATTTATTATTATTTTATGATCATCATTATTATTATTATTATTATATTATTATTATATTTCATTAGTATTATAATTTTCATATTGTTATATTAATATTATTTATAATTAATTATTTTTTTCTATTATTTTTTGTTTATTTTATCATTCTCTATTATTATAATTATATTATTATTATTATTATTATATATTATTATTATTATTATTATTATTTTCATATTATTATATTATTATTATTAGTTATTAATACTATTATTTATTATTATATATAATTATTATTATTATAATATATTATTATTATAATTATTATTTATAAACAATTTGTAATAATAAAGAAACATCTGAATGATAACAAAATATAATTACTTATGGATGTAAAATACAAATTAATTTTGTTTCATTTTTTTAAGTATAAAAATCTTAAATTAATTAACTTTTATCATGTCAACAACTTTTAAGGGTATTTCAGACATTTTGATAAAAAAATGTGTTTACCAGCACTTATTTGTCAAACACATCAACAATTTTTTTTAACTTTAGCACTTTTATCCAAACACATAACTACTTATCTTAAAAATAAGGATAATGCACAAGTACCCCCTCAACCTATGCCCGAAATCTTAGACACACTTATACTATACTAAGGTCCTATTACCCCCTGAACTTATTTTATTAATAATTTTTTACCCCTTTTTGGCCTACGTGACATTATTTTCTGGGCCCAATGCTGGTTGACTCTTTTTTTTCAAGATAGTGTCACTTAGGCTGAAAAGGGGTAGAAAATTACTTATAAAATAAGTTCGGGGGGGGGGGGTAATAGGACGTTAGTATAGTATAAGTGTGTCTTTGGGATTTCGGACATAGATTGAGAGAGTACTTGTGCATTTTCCCTAAAAATAAGTTTCAGCACTTTCAAAAGTATTTTTTAAAATCTACTTTTTTTTTAACTCCATCCAAACGGGCTCTAAGACTCATTTTCCTCCTCTCTAACTCACTTTAAAACCCACTAAAGCTTCTCTCTAAAACTCACGTGCAAAAGCAATGGTGAAAATGATCTGAATTAGTATATATAGTTCTAAGCTCATACAAAGCTCATCTCAAAACTCTCCTAGTGGACCTCATGCTTCTCTCCAATTGAATTTTTCCGAAGTAAAGGATTACAGATCAAAATATTTGCTTGTCAATCTACCCAAAAATCGAAGTTAATCTACAAATTTCAAGTTCTGTGAGTGTCACGCTACGAGCACCCCGAGACGTGGACATGGGACCTAGAATCACAAGTGATCCCAAGCTAATCCTGCTGGCATGATCATGAGCATACTAGAGATAATAAACTGATGCGGAAGGTAAATTATCATTAAAATGAAATGATAGGAAAATACCCATATACTTTAATTGAGATACATGAAACTGATAAGTTTAATACAAAAACATATTAACTCAATACTAAGTTGAAACTAACTATGCCTAAAAATAGCCTCTAATTGACTAGAAATGTTGGGACAGGCCCCAGCTAAGTCTAGCAAAAATTGAAACTAAAGGACTAAAATACTGAAAATAAACTCATGACTATTGTCCTCAAAAAATGAGGACTCACCACTGATTCTGCTGAACTGGAGATCGGAATCGATCTA